CCCTTATGTTCCTGCAGTTTCTTTATGGAGCTTCACTGAAATTTTCAGCATTTTCTTTCATTCCTCAGAACTTCTCTAAAGTTCCTACAATTGTTGTAAAGTTAATGGGGCTCCATAGAAGATCTGTAATTATTTATAAAGTTAATTACGAACTTGAAATAAATCATTTATTTTTTTACTTAATTCTGGTACTTTGAATATTTTGAATATCTTGAATTTGGACATGGAATACGAAACTTCAAGGCATTGAATATTTTTAGATCTTGGACTTACTTACTTGGAAAACGCAAGTAATTTTATTTAGAAAAATGAGTAGACATCCTATATATATAGAATAATTAATCTTGAAATAAATTCACGCTAAAAAAAAGGTGAAAATAGTGACTTATTACTAGAAAAAGTGACTTTAGGAAGCTTTTTAGTGACTGACTTGAAAAAAAGAAAGTGACTCGCTACCAGTCCTGTAATTCAGTTAGATCATTGGTTTCAACAGACGTTTGAAAACATGCTCGATGTTAACCATTGCATACACAAACTTTTACATTAATTATTGATCGATTTTGATCAAAACAACCTTAAATCGAAAAAGGAATTGCTTTTTACTTTAGATTGTTCAACGGATTAGCATCATTTTTGATAAAATTCTAAAATATTAAAAAAGCGTTAGGTCAAACATTTTTAATTAAACCGTGCTGGCTTCATAAAATTGCCAAATAATTTTAGATAGTAAGTTTTCTTTATTAAAGAGGGGGGCATACAGCCAAATTATTTTATAATAAGTTCGCTCAATTATCGGTGGGTGTATACAATCCATCTCGCACAGACCGGATGGATCTCACAAGTTTGCTCAATTATCTTTCTTGGAATTCTCTTTTATTTTTTTTCAAAATTCCAGTCCCTTGAAACACTACTGTACGGACCATTTCCCCGAAACACCAGAAACATATTCTGATGAGGTTTATGGGTCCTTGGAACACAATATAACCATCAGTTATCATTTTTTAAAGTTCTTTTGATGTTAACATCAACATCACAGAATTTTGAAGCTCTACCTTTGACATATCGAATTATAGAACCAAAATAACACTGCATAGATAACCCTCCCCTTGGCTAGTTTTTGTACCTTGCTGTTGGTGGGCGGGCTAAATTTCATGCTAGTGGAGTGTTGGAGACGGTAGGTTTATGGTCGGCGTTGCTGGCTCATGCCGCGATAGAATGACGTCATGGGCAGGCAATGGGGATTACTAGGCTTCCCCTCTCTGATAAACCACTGCATGAGAGAACCAAAGATCTAGTCTAGCAGTGATAGTATCACACTTGTTACTCCTTTAATTGAGAGCCGCGTCGTAGTACGCTTACGTATAGGCACTGACGTTGGGTGTGATACTGGCGGGTTTTGCCGCAAATCACTCTTATTTTATTTATATTTACGCAGATAGATTTATTTGGGTTTGCAAGGGAATTATACTATTGAAATATTTCAGAAAACGCCCAACAGTGCTCCTTTTATTTGCGTGACAAGCTTTCATTGTTGTTTTCATTGAAGTAGGTATTACTCAGGGAACAATGTTAAACACCATTTTTGTACATGGTATTGTAACTAATCTTATATGTGCTTCGTTTTGATTTGGGATAAGTGTTTGAACTATGGCTCAGGATTTCCACTGTGGCGTGCTTCTATTGTGATATATCCATACGTAATTTTGTGGGACGACATAGTGGAAACGTGTGAGCGTAGTTGGATCATATACCCTAAATAATTTAAAATCAGCTAGGAAACTAAATTCAAAATGAAGCATTTTAGTCAATTGAAGGTGTCACCTGGGTCGAACTAAGTTATAATAAATAGGTATAGGTCAAAATCAAAAGTACTTGAAACACGATTAATTTTAGATTACAAGCACAAGTGCAGGTACTTAATAAAGCATGGGTTATGATTGATTAGGTGAATTAGAGATTTCAATAATTTATTAAATTAGACTAATGAGATATCATAATCATCAAATGAACTTCAATAAGAAACTTCAGAAAGTCTAATGACATTAGGTAGATTAAAAAAAGAATTAGGATGCGGGGGGTCCGCTTAGGGAGGCAACTAACCTTTAAAGTTGTAGAATAAATCTTCTTGTTTAGTCTTGAACTTTAAAAAGAATACGCAGGCAGACCAATAGAATTAAGCAGATTAACAAGAAGAGGAATAGTTTAGGAAATAAGTAAAAGTAGAGGTATGTGACAATTAATAACTTTTAAACTTTTGGAGGTATTGTATTCCCCTGAGTTTGTTGTACTCGATTACTATATTATTCTCTCAATACGCGAAATCTCTTATAAATGCGGTTGAAGCATTTGAGTTAACTTATTTCTTAGTGTTCAAGTACTTACATTTGTAAACAGCAGTCAATGTTAATCTATGAACTAAACTATACGTAAAATCGATCTTTCCTTATGTGGTATTGATGCATGTTTAACTTTTCGCGGCTGTCAGAATCAACGCGCCTACGTCTACGGAGCTTACGCAGAGATGATTCGCAATGCGGTAGAGCTCACCAAAAGTTTTTTTGAGCTTCTGTAGTATAGAATTTACGGTCGCGAAATCTTGAAATGATTGATACGTGCGGTAAAATAACTAAATTGAAACAAAGCTCAACAGTAAAATAAGTAGAATATTTAAGGAGGAAACCAAAATTAGTCAACTTGCCAACATAGGCTATCACATTTATTTTGGTGGCACTCTTTAAGTGATAATAAGTTTTTTTTTCTCTACGGTTGTTTCACGTGGCGTTCACAATTTGCGCGATTTTCGTATCCTACGTAATTTAGATGTTTAGCTCTAAACGGTTTTACTGACTCGAGGTCGTTCCTTAAGCGCTGTTGGTACAGGTTAAACCTTTGCCGACTGTCGGATTCAACGCGCCTACGTCTACGGAGCTTTCGCAGAAGTGATACGCAATTCAGTAGAGCTTGTCAAACGCTTTTGAGCTTATGTAGTATAGAATTTGTTCGGTGCGGTCGCGAAATCTTGAAATGATTGATACGTTCTTTAAATTAACTAATTTGATACAGAGCTCAGTAGTAAATAAGTAGAATATCTAGGGAGGAAACCAAAATTAGTCAACTTGCCAACATAGGCTATCACATTTATTTTGGTGGCACTCTTTAAATGATAATAAGCCTTTTTTCTCGCTTCGGTTATCTCGCACGGCTTTTGGTATTCGCGCGTTTTTCGTAACTTACATAATTTAGATATTTCGTTCGAAACGGATTTACTTATTCAATCGGTTTACTACGCGGATGTTTCTACGCGCACACGTCACAGCATTTTTTCTATAATTATCTTGAAACAATACATACGGAATCCAGTGTTCAAGCGGCCAACACAGGCTAGTCCTTCTGCTGTATTGTCAAAGATAGAAGCAAAATTTATTCCAGCTTGATACCCAATAAAAAAAAAAAAAAAAAAAAAAAAAAAAAAAAAAAAAAAAAAAAAAAAAAAAATAGTAACACTGCATAGATAATCGACCAAAAAAGGCATCGACTTATAGAGAGTACGATACATGGCAAAATGGAGGGACCGCAGAATCCATCGAGATATAGAATATTGAGTTATGGAGAATTGACTGTATATCCAAAGAAACTCTGCGTAATGTTCCTGGAGGTTCTGAAGAAATTGTCAAGAGAATTCTAAAGAGAGATTCAAGAGAATTTCAAAAGATCCTTCTCAAAAGCGTTTTGAGAAGCATTTCAAGCTAATTCTGAGGGTAAATCCATAGATATTTTGAGATAATCATTTTTCAATATCTAAATGGCAAGAGATTTCCAGCGGGAATTTAGAAATTTGTAAAGCTATCCTGAGATAAGCATTAAAAGAATAATTTAGGTATGATTTCGATTCCGTACACAGAAATTCAAGATCCAAAATTGATATAAATTGGATTCTGAGACTTCAGTTGACTACAAATTTCATTAACTTTTCAATATGATGGGGCTAGATTCATAATTCTAAGAGCAATATTCGAATTACCAGACTTTGAATATTTATTAACAAACATCAATCGGTTTTCCCGGTTCAATGTCCATCCTGTATCAAACTCCGACAAAATCTCATGACTTTGTCGTTATATGAAGATCTCAAAATTTCGTCGTTATAATATCTCCTAACTGAAAAATCTACTTCTTTCATTATAAAATAGATTCCTAAGCATTATCGAGAGAAGTCTTAAAAATAATGCGGAAGATCCTCGGACATCATTGGAATAATTGATACACAGCATCATTGAAAGAGTTTATCCTATCTTTAGAACTGTAGAATTGGATTGCAATTCTAAATTTTCTTCTCTAGAAAAACGGTTACCATGTTTAAATCAATTAAATCAATTATGAGTAAATGTGATCACCACTGATAAATTGTAAAATATCTCAATCATGTTGAAAAACCAAGACAGTTTGAAAATGTTTCGTAACTGAATAACTGCTTGACCCAAACTCTGGTCATCAACCCGAAAATCCAGAGCAAGGAAATGCATTATATTCCAACTGCATCCCTGCTTTTAAACTATACCCACCATAATTTACGGTGGGTTCATTCGACATCGACGACCCCCGTATTGTACACACATTGACCGATAATTCCAAATAGAATAGACGGTGGTGCAACGTGCGGAGAATATACCACAGAAACAATTGCTACAATTACGGTCCGACTCTCTGTTTTGTGGCATTATTCTTTCCTGGAGCCATGCTCTCCTTCTTCAGCTTAGTGCAAACACCTTCGGCATTCTACTTAACCAAATTAAATCCACCTCCTCCCTCTCTTCCAGATACCCTCGTGTCGTGATTCGAGAGAGAGAAAAAAAACTGACCAGCCCGGCCCTATACGGCCACGAGGAAAGCAATCGTGCAGAGGTAATTTCTCCGAGAAAATTGCTCCCAAGGAACTATATGCGGCATGGGCCAAAGGAATGTTCCCGAAAGAATTTGAAGAATGTTTTAATAGCACCTACCTGTCGTGTCCATGTAGATGATCAGTATGCTGAGCACGGTCGCGAACGAGATGATGCAGAGTGCCACCGGAAGCAGCTGCCGGAAGGGAGACGGTCCAATCGGGGACGTTTTGGCGGGTAGTTTGGCTCCACTGGTCAGCGTTGAAGGCGCCGAACCACCACCGTTGTTGGCCAACAGTCCCGTACTTCCGCCCGTTACCGACGACGAATACGGATGCAGCTGAGGTAGATGTGCATGCTGATGGAGGTGACCGTTGAGGTACTGTGTGTGTTGTTGCTGCTGCTGCTGATGATGATGAATATGATGATGGTGCTGATGTTGCTGCTTGTGGTTTGCGTCCGGGATCGTTCCGGCAATGTTCGGAATCTGCTGGTGGGCTGCGTCCTCCGGCGTTCCGCCGCTCTGTTGCTGGCCTCCTCCTTGTGTCATTGTGTCCTTTTCCTTCGGGACCTTTATCCTCATTCCATAACTGTAACGCGAGAAGAGAGAAGATCGAAAGATTAGAATTCGGCATATGGTCGGGAGATCAGATTACGAACTACTGTTACACACGTATGGATTCTCGAAATTTGACGGGAACCCTTTCGAGCTACTTGATACATGTGCGGAGAACTTTTCTTTTACAAAAACATTCCGTTTCGCATTCCTCTTCCTTCTTCAGCCAGCAGAGTGACAAAGGAGAAGCCCTTCATTATTCATGCAGATGTCCTCTTGTTCGCCGCTCGGTAAAGTACCCTCTTCATCTATTGGAGCATCACCAACGGCGATGGCGATGACGATCGATCTATACCTCCGACTCGTCGGGCTGACAAAAGCGAAAGACAGTGAGAGGAGGTGCATCAGCTGAACATATGATGCTTGCACAAGACAGATGACACTAATGAATGGTAACGGGACAAAAGGATGCTATTAGCAGAGTGTATTTGGCCTAATAAGTACCTTTGCTCACTGACAGAGGGTCCAAGGGATAAAAGAATACGGAAACTTGTCGTACCTAACCTATATGGGCTCTCAATGGCAAGATTGATGAACACGATGCGGATGGCATCATCGTCATGGTGTCATTTGATGTTACACAGTCAACTCTCCATGACTCGATCTTGTAATGAGCTGTCGAGTTATGGAGGAAGATTTAAAAAAAAATCATAGTCAAACTAGCCTGGATGTTCAGCGAGTAAGGTAGAAATTTGGGTTAGAGAATATCGTGTTAGGAAGAATTTACTGTACCTAGATAACCCACACACGAATGGAAGTTGGTGAAGATTGATGGCTGATAATGGTTAATGGCAATCGTCCGGTGTTTAGCCACGCTAATGGTACAATCTTCATGATTATGCTTATTTTTATAATACTGAAACTACATTCATCAAATTAATCTCTCTGAAATAAATGCACTCGGAAAAAAATCCGTTCCCGAAAACGGGAACGGAACGTGAACTAAAAATCACGGCCAACTATCCAGAACAAAATTTTCTCAAATACACACCGTGAACTATGGTTCACGGCTGTGGTTCACGAATATGGGAACTCTTTTTTTCCCGTGATAAGTGGAAGCCAAATACGTTCCTATCTTAAGCTGACATCAAACTGTTTGACAAAACGTCAAATATTTGGCAAATTTTGACAAATATATTTGACCTAATATTGCTATGGGAAATATTTGGTTTGTATTTATTATTCCTTTGTTTGCTGAAAACAGTCAAATAATTTATATGATACTCTTGAAATTCTTGAGTAGCAAACAACATCAAATAATCGTCGCTTGCTGTGATCGTAGTTGACCACAGGAATAGACGATTTATGTGATAATCACTTATGATACGCTTCAATTCAAATGCTTTTTTGATTGAAAAGCGAACGATGTCCTTCATAGATCCTTCGGGAGCACATATTGTTTTTTTTTTTTATCTCCCGGACAAGTTCCTTCAGAATCGGTTCTGGATCAAGACCAGTGGAGGAAACAAATGATGCGATACGGCATATTGTTTTACACGAATTTTATATGAGAACTCTAACTGTACCATTTAAGGTCCCTCCCGGATGCTCGGTTCAACGAAAATCTGTTTCGGAACAAATAAACTGGAGAAAAGGATTCATTCAAGGGGTACTCAACTCTGCGCACCTTTATCTGTGCCGAAAGCTCCCTTTTTATGGCACAGACCTGTTGGTCCATAATAGTGCCGAAAGCTGTGCCAAGCGCTATGCCGAACGTGCCGAAGTGAGCCAAAGTGTACCAAGCAAGGTGTCAATATCCCATGAGATTGGCAACCTTGTAGGTTATAATGACATTTGTGATTGTGATTAAATTTTCATTTTCGGAACGGGAGGTGGAAGAGAAACTGAAAGTTATCAAACCTATGTGGTTTTCAAACAAACTCGATCGTTCCACAAAATTCTCGACTCGATGTCTAATTGAATTACTGATTTCTTGCAGTTGTTCAGAATTAAACATCGATGGAGGAAGAAAATGTCACCAGCATCCTTTGAAATCCTCTCCAACTAAAGCAAACAAAGAACTCGAGCGAACGGAAAGATGAATGACATCCATGTAATCGACGTTTCTAGCACCTAGTGCGGACTCAGAGCCATCCCTGCTAGAAGATAACTCGTAATCTCTGGATTACTACTGCTTGCTTGTCCATAACTTGGTCAACAATCTAGTGTTGATGTTGCTAAAGGTTCAGATTTGCAAACATATTCATATATTTAAAGCGCGATTCAGATATGCTTCGCATGTGTAGGTTGACTGAAGTTGGTACATCTGTACACCCATAGGCTCTTGCGAGGATCTTGCTAAAGAGTAAATTACTTAGGGTCGTCAAGCGGGAACGTCTGAGCACACCGAAACTCACTCTACTGCGAGTCAAATTTTATAAATTCAGGCCGATTGGTAGGTCACCCATCGCACCGGGGCCTCTTGCGATGATCAACTTGAACTAGTGAGGTGACAAAAGTCATTTACACCTTGGAGTCACCTCACTAGTGACAGAGAGTCACACGACTCGCAGAATAGGCCTGGGAGAGTCGCGTCACATGACGTCACTTTTGTCACCTCCAAGGGACAAGACAACTGTACTCAGAGTAAATATATTTGCAACGAGTAAATTTGAGTTACTCATATTTACTGAAAAATAAACAAAGTAGTCTCAAAAAATGCAGTTCTGGAAACAACCGCCGTCCGACATAATGCTTAGTTTCATTAAGTAAAAAGTCCAAGTTAAATTGCTCTTGTCCATTCCAGAGGATACCACGGCCTAATTTCTATGGATCGATGGCTAAAATGAAATGTCTTCGATGTTTTTTTTTTGGAAATGTGGTGGTGTGATTTCAAGCCAATAATTTGGCTAAATGTTATGATAAGATTTTTTTTTAGTTCATGCAAATTAATACTCAATTTCACAAAATCGGTCAAAGAGGCTTCTGATATTGAAGAATTACATACCTGAAATGAGGAAACTCGACATAAATAATAATTATTAATAATTAAGGTGTACCGTGAACAGCAAAATTATATTTACAAGCTTCCATAATGGAAGAGGTATCAACATCCCTGAGAATATTTAGCTAGAAAAAGTCAGAGTAATGGTCAACTGTCACCAGAAACTTTCGTTGTTTTCCCTGATACTCCTGGAGACAGACATCCTTACACAGAAAAAATTTGAGCTATACTTGGCATAAACAGCGAAATCGTTTACAAGCTTGCATACAATATTGCTAATTTATGCGATATTGCGCTTAAAATTACACGAAATATTGCGTAAATTTATGCCAAATCTAGCGTTAATTTTATGTGCGCTATATCTGGCAGAAATTTACATGAACGGTGTAGACACGAGTTGAAATGGGTGAACAAGAATGGGTTGAATTTTTATTGTCAGGTGATGTTGTGCTGATCGATATTTAGCACAAACGGAACATTGTTGAATGCGGTCTTTTATTTAGATGTTCATTCCATGTCAAAATAAGTTAGCTCTGGCTATCTTCAAAGTTGATTCCACTCTGAAACTTGCATGAAGTTTGTTAATGAGCGATCGTTGAAGGCATCAGGAACACCCACATCTCGTTTTTTCATACTGCGATTATCCAGAATTCCCTTTGGATTGACTGGAATGATCCCTGTGATTGTCCAGAATACATCTCAGTTTGTCCGGAATCTCGTAGGGATTGTCTGTAATCTCCTGAACTGTCGTGAATCCCCCTCAATACGAACTGAAATCCTCCCTGGGGTTGTCCGGAATCTCTCCTTTTGATATTGCTGGAAAGCCGGAAATTCTGCTCAGATGAGTTCAGAGGACAGTGATACGTACTGTGAACGTGCCTAAACTAACGTTCAATGTCTACCGGTTTGTTTAACTTAAATTGTTCGCTAATTGCATTTCGAGCCGTACCATCGTATTGGACAACCAGATCTTCTAGGTGTTTGACTGTCGTATCGAAAAAAAAACCCTATCGACCAACTATGGTGTGGAAGAACTTGTAACAGAAGCTAGTCTCGACAAAACCACAAGCCGCAGGGGTTTTCACTGCTAATCAGATTAGATGGACTGAGTTTTGTTAGATTGCAAGGATTAATGGTAAAGAAAACACTTACAGTTTTTCGAAATGTGGATTGTCACAAACCTCCAACATATTGGGCTTTACATTGGGGTAAACAAAATATTCATCCTTATCAACGATTGGCAAAACGTCAACCCTCGACAGCGTAAAGTGCCGAACAGTGTGCCATGCTGTGTTTCGGCACACAGTGTGAAGAGTTGATTACCCCTTGGATTTATTTGATGCAACAAACGAGCTCGGAGGAGTTCATACGACTTCTCGGATAGTTTCTTTAAATTTACTGGGGTATCTTTTGGGGTTCCAGAGTTCCTTCACTTTGAACTGCATAACCCTCTGGTTAAGCATTTTCAGAATGCTCGAAGCAAAACTCTTGCATATCAAGCGTAACTATTCATATCGACGTATCTAATTTTGTAAACAATCACTTCAATCAACGATTTGTGGCAACTGCTAGCTTACTCGCAGAAGCTAACAACACCAGCTAGTAGGGGAAAGATTCCCCTACCTGATGATGGTGTTTGTTTGAGTGAGTGAGTGAGCATTTAAGACAAATCATCGATTGAAGTGATTGTTTACAAAAGAAGATTCATCGATTTAAATAGTTACGCTTGATATAACCTCTCTTTCGACCACTTGATAGCAGCATACGCATGATAGGTACTCGACTATTACGGAGCAAGCTCGCTGCTCTCTACTTATGGCTCATATCTACCTCGGAGGCAAGTCATCAGATATTCCATATCCTCCTATTAGGACAGGATCGTGGTTTGCGGCGGGGTGTTCGAGATCACACACAAACCCTAGTAACCAAAAACGGCAAAACCGGCGGAGTAGGAACTCAAGTTCAGTTGGAGAAACTTTATTTGACCTTTGTTGGCTCCTAGAGCCTCACGGTAGCCAGCTATCCACGTG